CAAATTGAAACTCCATTTCAAACAAACAACAACAACAAAAATAACTAAACTAATAAACCCCTAAGGCATAACAAATAGACCTTAGTGAAACTAAACAAGCAAACAGGCTGTTAAATTCTAGATAAAGGGGCTGGAAGCTAGGTCAGGGATTAAGAGCACTGTCTGTTCTTGCAAAGGACCTACCTGAGTTTCCAGCACCCACAGGCATCTGTAATTCCCACTCCTGGAGATGCGACACCCTCTTGTGACCTCCACAGGAACAGTGTTGAAGTGGCACACACAGATGTGCATCCAAATGAAACAAAAATTATAAAGATAACTCTTCAAATACTAGCTAATCTACAGAGGCGAAAGCCTGGTCTCTGCCTCCTCCAGAGAGTGTGAGTGGCCAGGCATGGCCAGTGTATCGAGGACACTTTCTCCCTCTAGCCACACAAAACCAAGAGATGAATGAGACCCCAAAACAGACAACAGTCCTGCTGTTCCTGTGGTTCTCTGTGCAGCTGGATCCCTGTCACACCACGTTTGGCGACTCCTTGTGACCTGCTGGGTAGAAGAACCTATTAGTGGCTTTTTGAGAGACTCAGGAGCGACGGGTCCAGAAAGCAAAGGTGACACTGTGTCTTGGGTAGGGTTCTATTGCTGTGAAGAGACACCATGACCACATTTCTCTGGAGTGGCTGCTTCCAGTTCAGAGGCACAGTCCAGCATGACGGTGGGACATGGTGCAGGCAGACGTGGTGCTGGAGAAGTAGCCAAGCATCCTACATCTTGACTTGCAGACAGCAGGAAGTGGTCTGAGACACTGGGCACTAATCGAGCATGAGACCTCAGAGCTCACTTCTCGGTGATCCGCGTCCCCCAACAACACCTCCTAATAGTGCCACTTCCTTGGGGACCCATTTTTTTCCTAAGCCACCACACCCTGGGGCTGATTCTGCAGTGGGAGCCCGGTGGTCTGCTGGCCCTCAGGCCTGCTCTCTTCTCTGGCAGGGTCTCCGTTCATCTCTACCAGCATTCCAGGAAAAAAAGGCTTAGGGGGTCGACAACTGTGAGGGTTGTCGCTGAGTGAGCAGAGCACACACAGAGCATCACATAAACCAGGCCTGGTGGTGCACGCCTGTCACTCAAGCACTGGGGGGGGGGGGGGGGGCGGCCGAGGGGGGAAATCAGGAGTTCATTGTCATCTGAGGCCAACCTGGGCTACATGAGGTCATATTTAAAAAAAAGGCCAGGCAGTGGTGGCGCACACCTTTAATCCCAGCACTCAGGAGGCAGAGGTAGGTGGATCTCTGTGAGTTTGCGGCTAGCCTGGGCTACAAGAGCTAAGCTAATTCCACTAGTTCCAGGACAGGCTCTAAAGCTACAGAGAAACTCTGTCTCGAAAAACCAAGAAAAAAAAGAAAAAAAAAAGAAAAGGGATAGGAAAAGAAAAATACGCTCCCCTTTTTTTGTTTGTTTTTTGAGACAGGGTTTCTCTGTAGCCTTGGAGCCTGTTCTGGAACTTGCTCTTGTAGACCAGACTGGCCTCGAACTCACAGAGATCCCTGCCTCTGCCTCCTGAGTGCTGGGATTGAAGGCGAGCACCACCACCGACTGATTACTTTTTTGGGGGGGGTCGTAAATTCTTTCACCCTCTTCTCATCCAGAAATGGGGATCCATTTATCTTGAGTACAATCAATACAGCTCATCTTTGGTGTGTAGCGTGTGAGGTTAACTCCTACCGGAGAGACACAGCTTCCTTCTTTGCGGGAAAATTTGTCCCATTATTAACTATTAGTTAATTTATTAGTCAGAGATTCATGTAGCCCAGGCTGGCCTTCTACTCCCTATGTAGCTGGAGATGATCCTGCTCTCCCTCCCAGGGCCCGTGCCATGGGTGTCAGGTGCATGCCTGCATAGTGGTCTTTATCCTTACTCTCGATTGTGTTTCTGACACAAAGCTTCACATTTCCTTCCTTCCTTCCTTCCGTGTGTGTGTGTGTGTGTGTGTGTGTGTGTGTGTGTGTGTTTTGAGACAGGGTTTCTCTCTGTTACAGTCCTGGCTGTCCTGGAACTCACTCTGTATACCAAGGTGGCCTGGAACTCACAGAGATCCGCCTGCCTCTGCCTCCCAAATGCTGGGATTAAAGGCGTGCGCCACCACCGTCTGGCTCAGGGTTCATTCTTTAGCCCAGGCTGACACAAATTTGTGGGTGATCCTCCTGCTTCACCGCCTCCTGTACTGGGTATGTGGACGGAATCGATGGGTCCAGTTCCAAGCCTGCACAAATTCCGGGAAGAGGGTTGCGCACATGACCACTGGGGGGCAGCAGAAAACTACGATGATTTTAGCGCTTGCGCGTGCACGCGCATGAATGTGTGCGTGCGTGTTTGTACCCATCAACGCAGGTGTCTTTCTCGCTTTACTTAAGGGAACTGGCAGACCCCGGAGCCCCCGAGCGCTCCCATCCCGCAGCTGTGCGGGGACCAAACTACAGTCCCGGGATCATACAGTCCCGTCCTCCAGCTTCTTGTCAGAGTCTCCCACTGACTCCCCAGTGCTGCTTCCGTGTGGGTTCTGGGGATCCGAACTCAATGACCTGCACTTGCACGCAGAGGCCTCGCCCAGGCCTCTGGGCGACATCTCTAGGCGCTGTAGTTGTCCGCGCCAGGATTGCTCGGTGTATAACTGGGCTCCCTGATTCCGTGGAGAGCTTCCTGGACCCAAGAATCCCCCAGGACGAGGGTGTACTGTTCAAGGGAGATAAGGGAGCCTTGGGTCAGTTCGGAATATTGGGGTTTGGAGTCTGAAGAGTGGTGAGTTGGGCCGCTGCAGCAAGATGCACACACCCACCAGGCAATCCTACCTCTCCATCACGAGTTCACTGAACTAGCCCCGCAGGGATCTTAGTGAGGGCATGGTAAGGAGACCTAGCCCGGGACCTGAGAGTGAAGGGCTGGAATGGTGGAGGTTCGCAGCCAAATTATCCCTTCACGGCCTTTCATTCCTTGCTCGTGTGTCACTGACATCCTTGTGTTGATTAGGCGAGCTTTTGGAGATACAGAAACAGGCCCCTGGCTTCTACCAGTCCCAATGCGAAGAATGATGTCATGCCAGCATCGGAGGCCCACAGCAGCAGAGGTTCACACAGGTCCCCGAGAAGCGCTTGACTGTGACAACCCTACCCTGTTACTATTGACACTTCCTGAAACAGCTCACCTGTGGAAACCTGTGTCCCTGAGTCACAGTCACATGCGACTCCAGAAAAACTCTTCTGCCCTGTGAGGCGAGAGCCAAGTTTCTTCACATTGTCCAACCCCAAATGCCCAGAATCTGGCTACAGCCTCCAGAACTTCAACACGATTGACGGTTACACGAACAGAATAGTAATTTTTGAGATAGAGGTTCATGTGGCCCAGAATGGCCTCAAACTCAGTATGTAGCTGAGGCCCACCCTCTGCCTCCTGCTAGGATGACAGGCATGTGCTAGCACACTCAGCTCAGGGGCTTGGGGTATCCATCGAGGCTTGGTGCATGCTAGACACTCCACTCACGGGGTCCAGTCTCGGCTCAAAGACAGCTGTGGGTTTACAGAGCCATCAAGAACTGAGCAAAGCCCAAGTCCATATGACCTTTTCCCTTCCTCCACCCCTCCGCCAAGATACCTGCAGTTTCTCAGCTTCCCACCAGAAGCCTAGTTCACAGTAGAAAGATATCTACAGCGTCTGTGTGAGAACAGCTGGAAACCCACGTCTGAACGATTGGGTCCCAGCTGGTGAACTGTTTGGGAAGGATTAGAAGGTGTGGCCTTGTTGGAGGATATGTCACTGGGGTGGGCTTTGAGGTCTCAAAGGGTCTCTCTGCCTGCTGCTGGCAGGTCAGGATGTAGCTCTTGGCTGCTCTCCAGCGCCGTGGTAATCATGGACTAAGCCTCTGACACCGTAAGCAAATTCTCAGCTGCTTTCCTTTGTAAGAGTTGCCTTGGAGCCAGGTGGTGGTGGTGCACACCTTTAACCCCAGCACTCAGGAGGCAGGGGCAGGCAGATCTGAGTTCAAAGCCAGACTGGTCCAGAACAGCGTGGGTTACACAGAGAAACCCTATCACAAAAAAGCAAAACAAAACAAAATCCCCCCCCCACCGCCACTTGTGGTGGCGCATGCCGGTAGGATTTGCTGAAGGAGGCAGAGGCAGGAGGGTCGGGTCACGAGTTTGAGGCCAGCCTGGGCTACACATTTTAAAAAAATAGAAAACCAAATGAAACCAAAACAAAAACAGAAAGAAATTAGTTGCCTTGGTCATGGTGTCTCTTCATAACAATAGAACAGTGACAGAGACATCTCCAAAACCCTGTCTCAAAAAAACCAACCAACCAACCAACCAACCAACAAACACAGGGTTTCTCTGTAGCTTTGGAGCCTGTCCTGGAGCTAGCTCTTGTAGACCAGGCTGGCCTTGAACTCACAGAGATCCGCCTGCCTCTCCCTCCCAAGTGATTAAAGGCGTGCGCCACCACCGCCCCGCCCTGACTTATTTCTTACCTGATCCCATCCCAGGCACCTGCAGAGACACTCTGTAATCTCACAATTTTATTATGTACACAGGGTTCTGTCTGCATGTATGCCTGCAGATCTCATTACAGATGGCTGTGAGCCACCCTGTGGTTGTGGGGAGTTGAGCTCAGGACCTCTGGAAGAGCAGTCAGTGCTCTTAACCTCTGAGCCATCTCTCTAGCCCGAGATTGTTGTTCTTGAAAAGGTGTGCTTATATCAATCACCTTTTACTTTTGTAAAGACAGAATGTACCTGGCCCAATTTGGCCAAGCTAGAAAAAAATACTAAATGTTGTTTTTGGTTTAAAGATGTTTTGATGTAAAAGTTGGGGAAAAAACATATTTGACATATTTGTTTGTGCTGGAGGTTAACACTGGAGGATGGGAAAAACTGTTTTTGATATATAAAGATGGCTGGGGGTGTGGTTAGGGGGTAGAGTGCCTGGTTGGCATGGATCCTATCTGGTCACTATTGTTAACAGTTTATTGGGACAGGAGACAATGTGTACATACATTGAGGTCAGAGGTTCCTCCCGGCAGCCCCTATGTGTTTGCTGTCTCTCAAAGTCTGTCTGTTTTGCCTCTTAGTGTACCTGGCTTGGGAGTCCCCCTGGCTGGTCCTTCACCTTCCTGGAGCGCAGGCACCGTCTCAGTCTGCCCCACAGCCAGAAACAGTTGCAGATCTTAAGGCAGCTAAGGAACAGCCAGGAGCAGAAGTTCTTGCAGCGCTGGCCCTTCTCAGTGTTCAGCTCCTTGGGGATGGCGTAGGCTAGCCATATGCTCAGCAGCATTGTAACCACCAGCACCACGATGCTGAGCACCGGCGGGAACATCACCATGGGTAAGGCCCCATACACGTACACGCTGAATACGGTGTTTAGACTGCAGTAGCTGCAAGCAACAGTGGGCATAGACTGTCCTGGGTCCCCACTCCTGTTCACAAGACCAGCTTTCTCTTGTGCATGGATACTAAGATATGTTTTTCTGTTTGCTTTGGCTTAGGGTTTGGGGGAAAGGGGACTAAAGACAATTACATCACCATTTGAAAGAAAAACATGATGACAGGCCAGCTGAACCTCGGCTGCTGCCAAGAGGAGAGGAATGGTGAGAAAGCACGGTGAGGTGAGGGGCATGGAGGACCAACAGCCTCAGCGAAGGGAGGGAGGAGTCTGGAGTGAAAGCCCACAGCCTGGCAAGTTTCCAGGAAACCAGGCGGATGAACCACCACCCTTATGCGGCCACAGCCCCACAGTTGCTGCTGCGTGAGTTTGACCCTGATCTTGTGTAGCCCAGGCTGGCCCAAACTAGTTCTATAGCCAAAGATGGCCTTGAACTCTTGATCCTCCTGTGTCTGTCCATCTCCCTATTGCTGGAGTGACAGGCACACACCACCATCCCCACAATCTGCCAGATTGCTCTGACACCAAACCTGTGTGTCACCTCTCCTTGACACCCCCCAGCCACAGTGTCCCCTCCACTCACCTGTAGTATGGATCCACCACAGAGAGAAAAAAGGTGTAGATTCCATTTCTTTGACCAAAAATAACCTTATTGTCTGTCCGGCCACCTAAGACCTGATACTCGACCTCCGGCCACAGCAGGGGCTTGCCGTCCTTGTCATCGTGGCAGCTGACATAGTTCTGGGGTGAGGAGAGAAAGATGCAGGGTGCCATTCTGTCCTTCACGTGGCACATGCTGAAAGTAGGTCCTCGGTCCTCTTAACCCCCCCAACCTCCTACTTCACCCTTCCTGGGACTCCTGGCAAGATACGGCCTAGACTGCCCTCCAACTTGCTTTGTAGTGGGTCCGTCAGCCTCCGGCTCTGCAGTGATAGGATGACTGGCAGACACCAGCACAGCGTGGGTGGGATCCTGCCTACCTCTCTGTTCCAGAGGGTTGTACGATCTGCACCCTTGTCCAACTCTGCCTGAACGGTGCTCCAGTTCTGAGGCTGTGACCGGCAGTTGGCAGTGGCGGCCGTCAGGGAGTATGAATAGGTAATTATCCCGTTGATCTCACGGAGCACGTACTCAGCATTCATGATTTCTTCTAGAACCCCGTCCTTCCACCTGAGACACAAGGTGAGGCAGCGGGGTTCCACGCCCCGATGCAAGGCATGGGAAAAGAATGGGGGAGAAGTAGAGGGAGGGATCCAGCCACTATGAATGAGGGTCCTTCCTAAAAAGGGATAAGTTTGCAATGTTGTGTATTTGGGTTTTGTTTATTGTTTCTGTAGCCCAGGCTGACCTTGAACTCCTGATCCCTGTCTCCACCTCTCCACTGCTGGAATGACAAGGTGTGTGTGCACTGTGGTGCCTGGTTCACGGGGTGCTGGGAACAGGATCTGGGGCTTCAGGAAGCCAAGCAAGCACTCCACCCCAGCAAACAGAACTCCTGCACCCTATCCGTCCCTGAGAGATTTTGGATGACGTCTGTAGATACCTCCCCAAATCTTAGGTCTGCACCCAAGGACTGAAGCACCCTGACATCCGAGGGCTGTGTCATCTGAATATTGAGCCGAGCTTCTCTTTTTAGGCTTGACTTTGCCTTGGTAGCTGAGGATCAAAACAATCTGGACACACAGACACTGAACCAACCTTGACAGGCAGGGCTAGGCTCTGAGGGGAAGAAGAGCCCGGGCCTCAGGAACGACACTGCTCCCTGAGCGGCCCAGTGTAGGAGCAGCTGCACAGCATCGCGGTTTCTGTGGAGAGCTTGGTCATCCACACCCAGGGACACCGCACTTGGGGAGGTGAAGCTTGAGGGGACGTTTGTGGCCAGCCTCCGCTACAGGAGACACTGTCTGGAAGCCATCTAAGCGACACAAGTATAATTGTGTTCCAAAGAGAGCCTGTAGTGACACTAGTCCTCAGAGCCTCCAGAGATGTCAGGGGTGACTGCTTCCAGGAACTGCAGAAGCTCTCGCTCCAGAAAGAAGCTTTAGCAGCCAGTCACACACTGCTCAAAAGTCTGCCCACATTCAATCTTCACACAACTTTCTCCAAGATATTTTTTTTTTCTTTGGTTTTTCAAGACAGGGTTTCTCTGTGTAGCCCTGGCTGTCCTGGGACTCACTCTGTAGACCAGGCTGGCCTCGAACTCATAGAGATCCTCCTGCCTCTGCCCTCTGAGTGCTGGGATTAAAGATGTGCCATCACCACCCAACTCAAGATAATCTCTTTAAGACAGTCTTGCTGTGTAGCCCAGACTAGCCTTAAACTCTCAATCCTTCTGCCTCAGCTTCCTGAATGCGAGCATCACAGGTGTGTGTGACTGTACCTGTCTAGCTGTGCCTTCATTATCATATATGTTGACAAACTCCTGCTCATCCTTCAAAACTCCACAACCACTCATAGAAACATAGACCTTGCTTCAGGCGAGGACAGAGTTGGGAGAGCATAGGCCGCACAGAAGTGGTCAGAAGGAGACGATGTGATCGGGTTTGATGGCACAGAGATGCCAGCACTTGGAGGGCTGCAGCAGAAATTTGCAGAGCCCAAAGCCAGCCTCAACTACATCATGGATTAGAGGCTGGCATAAAAGGAAGAGTCAGAAGGCCTGCTGTGGACACCTGCAAGTCAAGCCAAGGCCGTGGCAACAGAGGCCTTTCTCACACTGACACCTGGGCCAAGCTTCCTTAGCTTTGGGCTCAGTAGCTGGGGCTGAGCGGGACAGGGGTGGGGTAGGGGTGGGACGGGGGAGGCTGAGGGTGGGGTGCTGGTGCAGCCTGGGGCCTTACAGTTCCACCACGGGCTTCCATGGCTTGTCGTAGTAGACCAGGCGAGGGCAGCCCAGGTCCTTGTACTGGTAGTACACGTGCAGGTTACCCTGGGCCTCCGCCTTGTGGCTCACTGGTTTGTACGCTTCCCTTTGGAGAAACAAGGACCGTGGTGACTGAAGCCCACACTGCTGCCCCACCGTTGTTTTGTTCTTTGCTTGCTTGTTTATTTTAGGACAGGGTTTCTCTGTAGCTTTGTGGCCTGACCTGGAACTCACTCTGTAGACCAGGCTGGTCTCGAACTCACAGAGATCCGCCTGTCTCTGCCTGCCTAGTGCCGGGATTAAAGGTGTGCACCACCACCGCCACCACCGCCCCACCGTTTGTTTTTACATCACAGGTCCTGGAATCTGAACTCAGGTCCTGGCAGCTGCAGTCTTTGCTGGGTCCTCCCACGCCAGGATATACAAAGGTCTTTTCTTCAGGTTTACATTCATGTGTCTGACTGTTTTGCATGCATGTGTTTCTGTACATGGTGTATGTGTGAGAATGTGTATATCTGTGTGTGTGTCTCTATGTGTCTGTATGTGTATATATTTGTGTGTGCCTGTGTGTGTGCCCGCGTGTGTATATTTTTAGTCAGCACATTTTAAGCCAAGTTCAAGAGTCTCCTGAGAGGGGCCTCAGCCAATAGCTGACAGCCGCACAGAGGCCCAAACTGAAGCGGTGAGGGGCACAGTAGGGCCATCTAGCTCATGACCTGAGTTCACATGCTGAAAGGAAGAGAGTAACACCCACAAATTGTCCTCTTCCTGTCACGTGCCACAGTGAATGAAAGAAGCATCATCTGGACAGTGTTTCTCTCTCCCAAGTCCCTTCTGCCTCCACCTACCCCAGGCTCTGGACCACCAGTGGGTACTAAAATCCACAGATGTGTAAGCCCCATGTAAGCAATGGCATGTGGGGACTGCGGGTCTATATCTGCCCTTCTGGTGACTCAGGAGGAGTCCCACCTGGGACCCTAGTGAGAGACGGGGATGGGGCTCAGATTAGCACCTAGACTCAGTTTCTAGCACCTAAGTTTCAGTCACAAACCTCCATTGTCTATGAACTGCTAAGACAGAGTGGGTGTGGGACTGCATCAGAAAAACACTCCCAAGTGACAGCCCACCCCAGACACGGCACCAGGCTGGCCTTGGCTAGTGCTGCTTAGCTTTCTTAGTTAACTTGATACAAGCCAGGGTCATCTGTCAGGAGGGAGCCTCAGTTGAGAAGAGGCCTGTGGTGTATTTTCTGGGTTAATGATTGATGTGGGAGACCCGTCCCACTGCGGACAGTACCACTCCTGGGCAGCTGGGCTTAAGAAAATAAGCCAGGAGCTGGGCAGTGGTGGTGCACACCCACCCACTCCCAGCACTCGAGAGGTAGAGGCAGGCGGATCTCCGAGTTCAAGGCCAGCCTGGTCTACAAAGTGAGTTCCAGGACAGGCTCCAAAACTATACAGAGAAACCCTGTTTTGAAAAACCATCAAATAAATAAATAAATAAATAGAAACAAACCAAGCAAGCTATGGGGAACAAGCCAGTAAACAGTGTTCCTCCATGGCCTCTGCATCAGCTCCTCCTTGGGTTGCTTTTGGTCACAATGTCTTATCATAGCAACACAGAGCTAATAAGACAGCTTACCATCAGTGCTAAGGCCTGGCTCTGACTCAAAGGATCACATTAAACAAAGGAGAGGCCTCCTGATGGGTTCCAGTGCCTGGCACAATGTGCTGGCTCCCTACACACCGCTGCATCCCGCCAGCTCCTGCAACTGCACGGTTGCCCTGGGCCAGACCCCAGTTTTAAATCACTCTTCCTCATTCCTGGGGTCTCTGTTCCCAGGGTGTGGAGGAATGAGAGGTGGGCAACACCCCACTTACTTCTCAATGGTGTAAGTGTAGTTTTTCTGCAGTACCACCGGGTCGAGGATTCCCATGGAACAAGCGGAGATTTTGCTGTAATGGAGAGAAGTGGGTGAAGGGGAGGGGGCAGACACAAGAACTGGAAGGGGATGGTGGGACACTGGCCCCAGCTGTGGAGGGTAGGGGCCTGCAGTCATCTTAGGGAGGCCAAATAGGGTTCCAAATCATTCCTTAGAAATTAAAACCTGTGGCTGCAGAGATGGCTTGTGTGGGGAAGGGGCTCACAGCTGTGCACTGCCAGCTCCAGGGGATCTGAGGCTTCTGGACTCTGAGAGAACTTGTACCCCCACACTCACTCACACACACACCAACTCTCCACACACACACACTGACGCCTGCTTACACACCCACTTACTCTCAGACACACACAAGAAAGAGCAGATCTTCATAGGAAGACAATGGCATCACCTAATCAGCAAGCTCAGGTCTCACATACTAGGGCCCCAGAACACAGCATGGCCACCTCCGCGTGTGACTAACCAACCACTTCCTGGCTCAGGATGGACGGCTACTGCCAGGGATTTGCGGTTTTCAGTGTTTTGATTTGTATCAACTGTCAATTATACGCAGAACTTTGATGTTAGTATTTAAATTTAACATTTAATAACGTAGCCTAAATTTAATATTTCAGTGTTTAAATGTCTACTTATTTATTTGTGTGTGCGAGTATTTTGCCTGTATGTCTGTCTGTGCACCATGTGTGTGCAGAGCCCACAGAAATCATATGAGTGTGTCAGGTCCCCTGGACCTGGAGTTACAGAGAGCTGTGAGCCACCATGTGGTTGCTGGGAACTGAACCGCGGTCCTCTGCAAGAGCAGCTGTTGTTCTAATGGCTGAGCCCTCTCCCCAAGCCCTGAACCCCCTATTATGGAACTACTAAAGACATACAGAAGTAGATAGAATAATGTCACCTCGCTATAGCGATGCTGCCGGCCCTGCCCTGCCTCCCCTGTCCCCGGGGCTATGACACTCACTTCTGCACAATAATCTTCTTGGTCTGGTCACAGCCAATTGAAATGAGTGTGGTCTGCAAGGGACAGAGACGGAGAGGCAGTCAAACAAGCCACAAAGAGCCACCGTCATCCCTGCTGCCCAGGAACACTGTCTGCGACACATTCGCAGCGGCTCTCCGTGTCAAGTCGAGGCTCCACCCACAGCAAACACCTAGCTCTTCATTCCCGCCCTCAAAAGCACACAGTGCTACACATTGGGATTATGGTAAGAACTCTGCTCCTTTTCCTGGCTGAATAATATCAACCAAATGAATGGGCCACGCTCTCCCCATCCGTTTGTGGGAATGTTTCCACGGTTGCCCACTGCGAATGACGCAGCTGTGGATGAAGGACGCATAAGTTCTTGCATGCAGGCATTTCATTTTCAAGTCTCTGGAAGCACCTAGAACAGTGGGTCTCAACCTGTGGGTCGCAAGCCCATGGGATAAAACAATTCTTTCACAGGGGTCACCTGAGACCACTGGAAAAAGCACAGGTATTTATATTATGATTCATAACAGTAGCAAAATTACACTTATGAAATAGCAATGAAAATAATTGTATGGTTGGGGTCACCACAACATGAGGAGCTGTGTTAAAGGGTCTCAGCATCTGGGAGGATGAAAACCACTGATCTAGAAGTTCTAGTTCCTCAAATTGGCCAGAGAAAATTCTAGAGATGCCCAATGAGAAACAGCGCTTCCCCCGGAGGGTTGTAAGGGATTCCCCCAGATGGCAACAGTGACCCCAGCAATCAGGACAACATCAGTGTCATTTCCGAACCAGAGTCCATCCAGGGTGATGGGACCAGCTTCTGTGACTCGGCACATACCAGAGGCTTCAGGTCCACACACGCCATTGTCTTGTCAGCTATGTCCACAGTCAGGGAGGAGATGCTGTGCTGCTTGATGCTGCAAAGCAACAGGGACACCAGGGATGGAAGGTCTGCATTATGGTGATGCTGGTGCGCTCATCCTGCTGACCATCGATCTGCACACCCGCGACCTTCCCCATCCTCTGTCGTCCACCTGCCAGTATATGCCGTGAATACTTTTGGCTGTCAACTTGACACAGCCAGGAAGAGGGAACTTCACCTGAGATTTTGCCCCATCAGATTGGCCAGTGTGGCATTTAATTGATTAGTGATTGATGTGGGAAGCTTCAGCAGATAGTGGTGCCACCCCTGAGTAGGTGGTCCTGGTTGTATGAGAAAGCAGCCTGGGCTGGAGATATGGCTCAGCCTTTAGGCTAGGCTCCCAACCAAGTATATAAGAAAACAGGCTGACAAACTCTTTTTATGAGGCTACAATTACCCTGATACCCAAACCACACAAAGATAATACTAAGAAAGAGAATTACAGACAAATCTCACTCATGAACATTGATGCAAAAATACTAAATAAAATACTAGCAAATCAAATCCAAGAACACATCAGAACCATCATCCACCATGACCAAGTCAGCTTCATCCCACAGATGCAGGGATGGTTCAACATACAAAAATCTGTCAACGTAATCCACCATATAAACAAGCTGAAAAATAACAACCACATGGTCATCTCATTAGATACCAAAAAACATTCGACAAAATACCACATCCCTTCATTATAAAGGTCTTGGAGAGAGCAGGGATACAAGGAACATACCTAAACATAATTAAGGCAATATACAGCAAGCCAACAGCCAACATCAAACTAAATGGAGAGAAATTAACAGTGATTCCACTGAAATCAGAAACAAGACAAGGTTGTGCACTCTCTCCATATCTATTCAATGTAGTTCTTGAGGTCCTAGCTAGAGCAATAAGACACCAAAGGGAGATCAAGGGGATACAAACTGGAAAAGAAGAAGTCAAAGTCTCACTATTTGCTGATGATATGATAGTTTACATAAGTGATCCCAAAAATTCTACCAAGGAACTCCGACAACTCATAAACATTTTCAGCAATGTAGCAGGATACAAGATTAACTCAAAAAAACCAGTAGCCCTCCTGTACACAGATGATAAAAGGGCTGGGGGAGAAATGAGAGAATCAACACCCTTCACAATAGCCACAAATAACATAAAATATCTTGGAGTAACTAACCAAACAAGTGGAAGACTTGTGTGACAAGAACGTTAAATTTTTGAAGAAAGAAATTGAAGAAGACACCAGAACGTGGAAAGGCCTCCCATGCTCTTGGGTAGGCAGAATTAACATAGTAAAAATGGCAATCTTACCAAAAGCAACCTACAGATTCAACTCAATGCCCATCAAAATCCCAGCAAAATTCTTCAAAGACCTTGAAAGAACGGTATTCAACTTCATTTGGAAAAGAAAAAATACCAGGATAGCCAAAACAATCCTGGGCAACAAAAGAACTTCTGGAAGCATCACAATCCCTAACTTCAACCTCTACTACAGTACTGAAAACAGCCAGGTATTGGCATAAGAACAGACAGGAAGACCAATGGAACTGAATAGAACACCTGGATATCAATCCACACATCTTCGAACACCTGATTTTTGATAAAGAAACAAAAAATATCAAATGGAAAAAAGAAAGCATATTTAACAAGTGGTGCTGGCATAACTGGATATCAACATGTATAAAATAGACCCATATCTATCACCATGCACAAAACTCAAGTCCAAATGGATCAAAGACCTTAACATAAAGCCAGTCACATTGAACCTTATAGAAGAGAAAGTGGGAAGCACACTTGAGCGATTGGCACAGGGAAACACTTCCTAAATAGAACCCTGGCAGCACAGGCACTGAGAGAAACAATTAATAAATGGGACCTCCTGAAACTGAAAAGCTTCTGTAAAGCAAAGGACATGGTCAACAAGACAAAACGACAGCCTACAGAATGGGAAAAGATCTTCACTAACCCCACATCAGACAGAGATCTAATCTCCAAAATATACAAAAAACTCAAGAAATTGGGTACCAAAAGATCACATAATTCAATAAAAAAAAATGGAGTACAGACCTAAACAGAGGAATCTAAAATGGCTGAAAGATTCTTAAGGAAATGTTCAGCATCCTTAGTCATCAGAGAAATGTAAATCAAAACAACTCTGAGATTTCATCTTACACCTGTAAGAATGGCCAAGATCAAAAACACTGTTGACAACTCATGCTGGATAGGTTGTGGGGTAAAGGAAACACTTCTGCATTGCTGGTGGGAATGCAAGCTGGTACAACCCCTTTGGATGTCAGTGTTGCGATTTCTCAGAAAATTAGGAAACAACCTTCCTCAAGACCCAGTAATACCACTTCTGGGGTATATATCCAAAGGATGCTCAATCGTGTCACAAGGACGTGTGCTCAGCTATGTTCATAGCAGCTTTGTTTGTCATAGCCAGAACCTGGAAACAACCTAAATGCCCCATCGACCGAAGAATGGGTAAGGAAAATGTGGTACATTTACACAATGGTACTACACAGAAGAAAAAAACAACAGCTTGAATATTGCAGGAAAATGGATGGAACTAGGAAACATTATTTTGAGTGAGGTAACCCAGACGCAGAAAGACAATTATCACATGTACTCACTCATAGGTGCTTTTTAAACATAAATCAAAGAAAACCAGCCTACAAACCACAATCCCAGAGAACTTAGACAACAATGAGGACACTAAGAGAGACTTACATAGATCTAATCTACATGGGAAGTAGAAAGTAGAAAAAGACAAGGTCTCCTGAGTAAATTAGGAGCATGGGGACCTTGGGGAAAGATTGAAGGGGGGAGGGGAGAGATAGGGAGGGGAGCAGAGAGAAATGTAGAACTCAATAAATAACAATAAAATAAAATAAAATATAAAATAAATAAATAAATATTATAAGTAACTGTATTAAAAAAACACAATTGTACTTACAGGCCCACTCCAAACTAAATGCTATGGTAACATGAAAAAAAAAAAAAGCAGGCTGAGTGCTGGACTATGGTGGCACACCTTTAATCCCTCACTCTGATGGAAGAGGCAGGTGGATCTCTGTTGAGTTCGAGGCCATCCTGGTCTACAGCATGAGTTCCATGATAGCCAAGACTGTTACACAGAGAAACCATCTCAGAAAAACAAAAAACAAACAAACAAACAAACAAAACCAAAAGCAGGCTGAGTCCCCAGGAGCAGCCTGGTAGCAACACTGCTCTCTGGCTTCTGCGTCATTCCCTGTCTTCAGATTCTTCCTCAGTTTCTCCTGAAGACAGACTGTGGTCAGCCCAGGTAAGACAAATAAACCCTTTCCTCTCCAAGTTCCTTTAGGTCATTGGTGTCTCTCACAGTATCTGAGAGCAGACTATGATACCACGTAGACACACACAGACACAGAGACTCACACATACTTATCTGCACAGGCTAGCCTCAAACTCTTGACCTTCCTGCTCCCATTTCACCCGAGCTGAGACCACAGCCACAATGCCGTGGCACTCAGGACTGAGGTGCTGGGCCGGGGACCCAGCGTCGCAGGCTTTCTGGGTGACTACTCCACCAGCTCCAGGCTCTGGCCCCATGGAGAACCTAGACTAATGTGATCATAGTGTTCCGGAGGTAGGCTTGGGACTCGGCCCTACTTCTCCCACTGTGGCTCCGGGAAACCCTGTAGGTAGGAGCAGCGACGACCCTCAAGCCCTGAGACCGTCAGTACCTGGAGGTGAAGTTATGGTCTGCGTTTTTCCAGTGGTGCTGCTGTTGGAGTTTTATTTCCTGCAGCAGTGGCAGAGACAGCGACAGACAGACACACAGAGAAACAGCCATTTGCAGCAGGAGTCTGCACAGATGTCACCCCAAATGGGACGGGGCTAGTAAGAGAAGGGTGACTGGTGGGCCCATCAGCTGTCCAGCCCTACTATGTCTTATTTCTATGTTATAGGGAAACCTTCTCTAAACTCTCATGGCCCTTGTGACAGCAATCCTTGGTATCCCCCATGAGTTGCAACTTTGTCTCCCCACTCACTGATATTTCATGTCCCAAAGAGTTGCCTGAAGTGTGGGTTTGTCTGAGTCCTGCCTGCTCAGGTGACATTGTGTAGACTGGCCATGTGATCCTAGGCACCACAGGCAAGTCCTGCCATGACTCTGAGGCAGACAGGTGCAGGGGGGACAACTGGTCCCCTACCTGGTCCCTGGCTGAAACCCAGATAACTCAGCTCCCACCCTCCCTGCACCTGGTGCACCCCAGCCTCTCCTGTGTGACAGTGTGTGTGTGTGTGGTGGCGGCTGCCTGTCAGGGCAGAGGAGTCAGGGCTCAAAGGAGAGGCTAGCATAGAGGGTCAGGCGTTAGTGGTACACTCCCTGCGTCCAGCCCTTAGGAAGTCATATTCTATGACTTCCCTGGCCTACAGAGGGACATCGTGTCTTGCTATCACAAAACAAAACAAACAAACTAAAAAGCAGTGCCCGGGGTGTTATTGGGATTTGGTCAAGGTCCCTGCCATGACCACAGACACACACCAGTTTGTGCTTAATGTTGCCGTCGAGCGTGTTGCCAAATTCGGAGATGAATGCCTCGAACCCCAGGGAGTGAGGGTTGCTGACCATCACCTAAGACATAACACACAGACAGCTGTCCCTTTGTGACAGATACCCAGGGGAACCCTGTCCACCCTCAGCACAACCAAGCTGCTTATGCACACAAGCTCCTGGGTTAAAGCACACCCACTGGGAATATCTGCCTATCAGCTGCAGCCCCAGAGACTGAGACCACTCAGCTGCAAGACATAGCAGGATGTCAAGAACAACAGGGAGAGCGGGGGTTGTTGGAGGAACCTGGAGTGGCAGAAGGAAGAGACAGAGAGAGATGGAGGAGAAGATGGAGGAGGAGATGCTGGAGAAGGAGGAGATGGAGGAGGAGATGCTGGAGAAGGAGATGGAGGAGGTGGAGGAGGAGGTGGAGGAGGTGGAGGAGAAGGTGGAGATGGGGGGATGAGATGGACAAGGGAGATAAGGAAGGAAGAGGGAGAAAAAGAGGAAGAGAAATAGGAATGTGGAGGAGGCAAAGAGAGAAGAGAGGAAGTTTCGACAAACAAGGGCTTCTGGGGTTGTGGCCTGGCAGCACTGTGGAGGATGGAGCCTGTGGTCCAGGCTGGAGTGTGCAGGTTGGCCTATACTCACCAGTGGTATGGGGGTCTTTCTCCGCCGGGGTATTATGAGGGCGGACAGATCCAGCTTGGTGTTCATGTCTATTGTGAACACTTTATTTACCATGGTGCTTTCCATAACCTCCACCTGGGGAAGAGAATGGGACATAAGGAAATACTGCTTCCAGCCCTGTCTCCAGAAGCAAAGGACAAGCAGGCTATGTGGCATATTAGACACAGAATTTTATCCTCATGCTGAAAGCCATGGCTGGACCCTGTGTCCCCAGAGAACCTGATGTAGACAAGCAACTCCACTACACTTTTACAGGAAGGAACCAAGTCCTTCCAAAATGTTGTCATCTTCATCGTCATCGTAGTCTTCTTCTTCTTCTTCCTCCTCCTTTCTTTTCAGGTATCTTGCAATATGGGGGAACTAAACCTGTATTCTGGCATTTGCTAAGCAACTGCTCCAAACTGACCACGCCCCCAGCCCCTAACTGGGGGATTCTAGGCAGGGGCTCCACCGTGACCATGACCCCAGCCCATCACTGGGGGATTCTAGGCGGGGCTCCACCCTGGCCACACCCCAGCCCCATATTCACTTTTTCTTTTAACACAAAGTCTTGCTGAGTTGCACAGGCTCAATGGAACTTGAAATCCTTTTACTGCAACTTCCCAAGGAACAAGAATGACAGGACCTCTACCACCATCTCTCGCCCAAGTTTTCTCTCTCCGTTTCCCCTACTCTAAAGGCAGAGATGGGCTTAGGGAGTGCTTACTGGACCATGACTCTCCTCCATTGTATGAGGTCCGAGGTGGCATCCACAGTGCCACCAGCTACCCACCCTGGAAATAAATAACCACAAAGGTCACTGGGAATTGACTTAGATCACAGAGTCACCTACATTACACGGTTCAATTTCCAATTTGGGATCCATGAGAACGGCTTGCACGTTCACAGTGCACTTCTCAAAGTCAAACACTAGAAGCTTTGGGTTATACGCTGGCGTGAGGAACTCCAGCATGCCAGTGTCCGTAAAGGAGATGCTTGTTTGGTCATTCCAGTGAGGCGGATTCGGCAGCTATAAGGAAAGTCAGGTCTGAGGCCCAACCCTCGCCTTCCTGCTTTTCTTTTTGTTTTGTTTCTTTCCACGAGATCTTAGTAGCCCCAGCAGGCCTCACAAACACAGCAATCCTCCTGTCTCAACCCTCCCGAGAACTGGGGATGAAGAGCAGACTCAGCATAACATGCCCAGCCTACTACTTTAAAAAACAAAATGTTACTCTATTTATTTATTGTATGCAAGTTCACACGGTGCAGGGCAGAGGACAACTGGTCAGGAGGCAGTTCTCTCAGTCCACCATGTGGGTGCCAGGGATCACACTTAGGTCATCAGGCTTAGTGGTGGGGGCCATTGTGATCTCCCGCCCCCCACCCCCGCCCAGGCTCTTCAGCCCTCTAATCAAGCTTGGCTGCTGCTTGTGTGCAAATATAACACCACTTGGGATGGAACCTTAGCCAACGCGAGCACCCTCTTTCTCAGGAGCAGCAAGGCAGTGGCTTCATATGTATATTTCACTGTTTTTCTTTGTTCTGATTTGTGGCTCTGGGAGTTTAAACCTGAGACCTGGTGCTGAATAATTTGTTTGTAACTGTGTAGGGTAGGTCACAGTGGGTAGATGTGTCCACCTAGCATGCACACAGCCCTGGATTCCATGTGCAGAATTCCCCAAAACTTTGCATGGCGGTGCCTGCCTACCATTGGAGCACTCTCAAGGATCAGAACTACACTGTTATCCTCGGCTACCAATGGAGCTCCAGTCCAGCAGTAGCTACATTAGGTCTTGCCTCAAAACAAAATGACATTTCCCTAGTGTGATGCTCAGGCTTCGACGAAGGACAGGGGTCTAAGAAGGGATCACATCACAGCTGTGTCTGAGAACCCAGACATACTTGGATTACGGGGGTTTGCAGGTAACTCTGACTTCCGTAGTACAAATTATTGTTCCGTGTGAGCACAGCCAACTCGAAAATATCTGGGAAAGAGAAAGCAAAAGCAAAGATGAGGTCGGGTTCTGGGAAAGGAGCAAAGCAAAGGGGCCAGCGAGGGGTCAGCAGGTACAGGCACTTGCTCCCAAACCTGAAGACCTAAGTTCAATTCCCGGAACCCACATAATGGAAGGCTAGACTCAACTTGCATAGGTCTTCTCCTCCACATACTCACCCAGGTGCGCATGCAAACATCTTCACACCCACAGCTGCAAGAAGTAAGCAGACGGAAGAAACAAACAGCAGCGAAAGTCAAAGAGCAGTTATCCCTCACTGCAACCCCGCCCAGCCCAGGGGGTCGCAGACCAATCACAGCCAAGCTGAGGAGTGGGATCCTGGGGGTGGGGGGTGGGAGCTGAAGTGAGGCAAGAGGCTTCATAGAAGCAAGCTGCCAGCAACAATTCGGCCACATACTCGAGGCAACACTGTGGATGGCGAAGCCAGTGGAGGAGATATCGGAGAGAAGACGTCTCTTCCCTTCCCACAGCTCTACGGTCTGCATGATCTGGCCTAGGAGAGGACAGGTAGACAATGATGACGTGTGTCCCGCTCAAGCGCACCACACCTCTGTGCCTCCCTGCACGGCCCCCACACCGTGTCTCCTTTGCCTTTACTGGGTTTTTATGACTTGCCTTTGGTTTGTTATTCAAAAACCCAAGGAGAGAAACTCAGCAGACACCTGATTTTTCAAACCCCAGGGGACACGTGGGCTCTGGGAAAGGCGACCCGTCTGAGTCTCTTTGGTAATGGAGCTCTGAAAAGTGACAACTGGACCCAACAGAGAGCAAATGCTCCGTGTTCATGAAGGCGACGCCACAGGGCAAATCTATCAAGAATAAAACTGCCTTAAGGCTGATGACCAATCAGCAAGGTGTGGTGTGAGTGCACACGTGCGTGCGTGTGTTTGTGTGTGCATGTATGTATGTGTATGTGAGTGTGCATGTGTGTGCGCGCGCACGTGTGTAGGTGCATTTGCATGCGTGTATGTGTATGTGTGTGTGCATGTGTGTGTGTATGTGTGTGCGTGTTTGTATGTGTATGTGCGTGTGTGTGTGCATGAATATGCATCCCTGATGTCAAGGAAACTAAAACCTAGGAGTGGAGGAGCACCCAGGAGGTTCCAGACTTCTAGGCCTGCCTGGGTTACAGAATGACCTAAAGGCTAACCTAGTCAATTTAGTGAGATTCTATAGCAAATTAATTTAAGAGACTGGGGGCTTAGTGAGGGGTGGAGCCCCACCGAGAATCCCCCCCCAGCTCCCCCTATTCCCCTGAGGGACTGGGGGCGTGGTCAGGGTGGAGCCCCACCTAGAATCCCCTAGTGATGGTCTTGGGGCATGGTCAGGGTGGAGCCCCACCTAGAATCCCCTAGTGAGGGCCTGGGGGCGTGGTCAGGGTGGAGCCCCTGCCTAGAATCCCCTAGTGAGGGGCTGAGGGCGTGGTCAGGGTGGAACTCCGCCTAGACTCCCTCAGTGAGGGGCTGGGGGCCGTGATCAGGGTGGAGCCCCTGCCTAGAATCTCCAGTGAGGGGCTGGGGGCGTGGTCAGGGTGGAGCCCCTGCCTAGAATCCCCAGTGAGGGGCTGGGGGCGTGGTCAGGGTGGAGCCCCTGCCTAGAATCCCCAGTGAGGGGCTGGGGGCGTGGTCAGGGTGGAGCCCTATCTGCCTTCAGACCTTCATCGCAGCTCTCTAAAAGTCTAGCCCAGCTTGTAATACTAGCAATAAGGAGGCAGAAACAGGGGGATCCCTGGGACTTGCTGACCATTCCCAGGTTGGGTGAAATTGTATTCTTTGAAAAGGTAGGAAAAAAAAGAATGAAGAAAATAATTGAGCACTTGATGAACCCCTCTGGCCTCCATGTGCATATTAACACATACAAACATCTGGGGTCTCCAGTCTAAATCCATCCCCGCCGGTGGAGGTCTAGGTGGGGTGTGGCTCACCTGCATTGGGGGACACCAAGAGACTTGACTGACCATAGAGGATCAGAAAACCCCTCTGGCCTGGCTTGATGATGACGTCAAGAGGTTCATTGTACGTAAAAGGTATCCCTGCACTGTGGTTCAGGGGGTGCTCCAGGTAGTGAAATGTACCCTGAGAGAAGAGAAGCAACCAAGTCACTGTGGCCCAAATCCACTGGGACAGTCCTGCTCACATCAATCAGCAATCTCAAGTAGTATTAAGGCAGGGACTTTGAGAGATCAAGGACATTGCCCAGCCTCAGCACCCCCCCCCCCCGTGATTCTCAAAGACCTTCCCCAATGTCTGACTAAGGGGAAGTAATGGGGAGTAGTTCTTATTAAGAATTTAAAAAAAATAATGATTAAAATTATTAAGAATTAAATACATACATGTATATTCATGTGTGTGTGTGTGTGTGTGTGTGTGTGTGTGTGCGTGCGTGTGTGTGTATGGGGATGGGGTATGTGCATATAAGTGCAGATACCCACAGAGGCCAGAGGATTGGAACCCCTGAAACTGGAGTTATAGGTGCATGTGAGTCACCCAGTATGGATGCTGAGAACTGAATTCAGGGCCTCTTCAAGGCTGGGAATCCACGCTAACTGCCAGCTCAGCCACTTCTCCGGCCCTGATGGTTAGTGGATGTCACTGAGGAGATAAGCCTCTATGCACCCTTGGGAGGGAGTATTTGGCCTCTGGATGTGAATGTGGGGAAGTGTGCTGATTAGGGTAATGGAGGTGGGGAGATCCAGCCACCATGAGTGGTGTCATTCTCTAGGTAGGTGGTTCTAGGCATCTAAGAAAGCTGAGCAAGAACAAGCCAGCAGCTCTTTGAAATATGCTTCTGCCCTGAGTTCTGGACATGATTTTTCTTGGTGACAAACTGTGACCTGGGAGTGTAGCCAGATAAATCCTTTCCTCCCTGTCTCAGTTAGGGTTTCTATTGCTGTGAAGAGACACCATGACCACAGAAACTCTTCTAAAGGAACATTTAATTGCTTGCTTATGGTTCAGAAGTTTAGTTCATTGTTATAGCAGGAAGCATGGTGGCATGTAGGCAGATGTGGTGCTGGAGAATGAGCTGAGGGGTCTTACATCTTGACCCGCAGGCAACAGGAAGTGACCTGACTCACTGGGCATGACTTGAGCATATATGAGACCTCAAAGACCTGCCTACACAGTGACATACTTCCTCCAACAAGGCCACACCTCCTAAAAGTGTCACTCCCTTTGGGAGGAGCAAACCACCACACCCCCAAAACGGCTTTTGGTCAAAGTGTTTACCACAGCTATAGAAGGAAACTGGAAAGGAAGCAACCTCCTACCCCTGCATAGTCTGTGCCCCAGGGGAACAATAGGGCAGGACACTGGAGAGGGGAGCTGTGACGGCTCTGTGAGATGGCATTTGGGGTTAACTGGCATGGAGGGGCAGTAAGGATGCTCCAGGCACCTGAAATACACCCACAACCCTGAGGCTGAGAAAGCCGGAAGTAGGCCTGCCCTGGGAACACCCTGCTCCCTTCCAGGACAGTCTGGATGCTATTCTTTCTGCACAGGTTCCCCAGCTGGAGTGGGAGACTAACAACTTTGACAAGGAGGACATTGGTTAGCTGTGATTTATGTATGGTGTTCCAGGAGAGGGACACCATACAGGGAAGCATGTGCTTGAGATGAGAGGTGGGATCAGGATAGTGAAATGTCAACCAGCCTGAACCTCACACTGAGACCCTGCCTGCAAAAATGTGTGGGCAAGGTGCGGTGCCCGCCTTTAATCCCAGCGCCCAGGAGGTAGAAGCAGGGGGGAGGGTCTCTGTGAGTTCAGGCCAGCCTGATCTAATAAGTGAGCCCTTGTTTCAAAAAAAAAAATAAACAAAAGGGGCTAGAATGAAAGTTCAGCTATTAGAAGCACCAGCTGCTCTTACCAAGGACAGGGGTTCAACTCACATGGTGGCCCAGAACCATCTGTAACTCCAGCTCTAGGGGATCCACTGCCCCTCTGGGCACCGGGCCTTACTGACATGAGCTGCAGATAAACACTCTGGCAAAATACTCACATATATAAACTACACCAATAAACATTGTCTAAAAACTAGCAAAAATCACCAGGTGGTGGTGGCACATGCTTTTAATCCCAGCACTCGGGAGGCAGAGGCAGGAGGATCTCTGTGAGTTCAAGGTCAGCCTGGTCTACAGAGTGAGTTCTAGGAGAGCCAGGGCTACACAGAGAAACCCTGTCTGTGAGGAGCGGGTGGTGGTGGGGGGAAGGCTAAGGCTGAGTGTGGTGGTAAAACAACAACAACAAAAACAAACAATAAAAAAGAAACACATTAGCAAGAAAGTTAGCTCCACACTTGACAGGGAAGCAGAGGTTTGGGTAGGAGCAGAGCCTTCCAGAGGCCCCCACGGTGCCCCCTGGGGTGCAGAGGAGGTGAGCCGGCTCAAGTCACATCACAGGCAAACTTCTATGTGAGTGTCTGTTACATGTGCAGACTAGACAGAAGACAGATCCTGTGGGCAGTGAGCTGCAGGAGTTGGGTGCCAGGAACAGGCCCTTACTACACAGATCAGGCTGGCCTTGTGCTCACGGATGTGTGAGCCACCATGTCTTGTTCCCTGCCTTGTTCTTTTTTTGAGGCAGAGTCTCTCACTGGTATGGACCACGCTGATGCCCACAGACCCTGGGGATCCTCCTGCCTCCACGTCCCATGTTCTGGCAGATGAACTCTGACCTCACCCTTCCACGCTGAGCACTTGGCTGACTGTGCCCATTATCTGGGATGTTGGAGATCACAAAGCATGAGGAGACTGACTGAGCATCTCCTGTTCTGGTATGGTCAGCCTGCTGCTCCAGGCCTTGCACGCAGGAGCCGACTACCTCTTCAAGGCCTGCAGACATGCAGCACCATGCTGAGCTGACTACAGAGAGCTGAGCTGCAAGTCCAAAGCACTCCTGCCCCAGTTCAGCTTTTCTCATGGAGCTGCTGACCGCCGTGAGCACCCATGTGGAGGGAGTCCTAAACATAGACTACCTGCAGTTTTCCCAGTCCACAGGCCAAGGGCTGATCATGGGGTGAGGAAAAGAAAAGTATTAGAAGTTCCAGGAGCAGAAGCCAGGAGCAAACTCAGTCCTGAACACTGGCAGATCAGGATTGACCCAGTAACCAGAACCAGAGTCAATGATCACCACCAGAACAAGGGGGTAACCGCTGAGCTAGTGAGCCAGAGCCAGAGACTGCTGAGGGTCCTGATGTAAATCTGGGACCTTCAAGGGAGTAGACCTAAGTCAACACCCCGATGGGTCTGGGTGAGAGTCTAGGACCTCCCAGGAACTAGGCCTGAGCTAGGACCTCTGCCAGTCTGGGCATGAGTGAACCTGGGTCCTCCAAGGGAATAGACAGGAACCAGAGATCTCAGTGGGGCCAGGCGTGAGTCTGGGACCTCAGAGAGGGTAGGCCTGAGCCAGGTCCTCTATGGGTTCAGGCTTTGGTTTGGGACATCAAAGGGAAGAGGCATGAACCTGGAACCCCTATGGGTCCCAACACAAGTCTGGGACCTCTGAGGAAGTAAACTGGTAGTCAGCAGGTTCGGGTGCACCTGAGCCTGGGACCTCCGAGAAGTATTAGACCAGAACCAGAAACCTTTCCAGGTCCAACTCCAACAAGGGACTTCTGCAGGAGGGAAGCCAGACCAGGATTTTACAGATACAGGTTAAAACCAGTAACCTAAGCCAAAGTTGCCCTGAGGCAAGGAACTCCACCTTGGGCAACAAATTTCCCCAGAGTGGGACTGGATGAGACTCCTAGGGCAGAGAGGGCCTGAGGAAACAAGCTCCACTGGGAGCAGAAGCCAGGAGCAAATCCAGTCCCGGACACGGGCGGGTGGATCAGGATTGACCCAGCAACCAGAGCCATAGCCAGTGATTGTCACCAGAACAGGTCCAACTCCAAGCCAGGGACTTCTGCAGGAGGGGATCCAGACCAAGATTTACAGATACAGGTCAAAGCCAGCAGCCTAGGCCAAAACAGGCCTGAGACAGCAAACTCCAAGGGAGCAGAGCCAAGCACAGGAGCACTGAGCTACCTCCAGGAACAGGAGTAACCAATGGAGTAACTAGAACTGAGACACTGACTGTACCACTAGGAACAACCATCTCACCTTGGGATTCACTGGCACCTAGAAGATTATTCAACAGAATCTCAGACAACCCCAACCACACCTATTAGAGGAAAAGTTGAGTAGAAAAGGTAAGATCACATGATATACCACAAAGAGCAACACAATACCAGTAAAACCAAAACACCCTACAAAAGTAAGACTTGAACAACCAAATATGGATGAACCAAAAGAAAATGATCTAAAAAATAAACTCAAGAGAATGTTTGAAATTCTTAAAGATGAAATGAGAAATTACCTTAAAGTAATGGAGGAAAAAAAACAAACAAAAAATTGGAAGATATCAGCAAAACATTTAAAGGAAACCAAGAAAAAGAACTCAAACATAGAAACTATTCAGGACTTGAAAACTGAGATAGAAAAAAATAAAGAAAACACAAGTCGAAGGAATTATAGAAACAGAAATCATGAGAAAAAGAGCAGGAACCACAAATGCAAGCATGAACAACAGAATACACAAAATGGAAGAGAGAATCTCAAGTGCTGAAGATAAAATAGAGGAAATAGATTTATCAGTCAAAGAAAACATTAAATCTGACAAAAGCTTAACTCAAAATATTCATGAAATATGGGACAACATAAAAAGACCAAATCTTAGAACAATAGGTATAGAAGAAGGAGAAGAAAAAAGTTCAACTCAAAGGCACAGAAAATTTATTTAACAAAATCATAGAAGAAAACTTTCCCTACCTAAAGAAAGATATGCCTATGAAGATACAAGAAGCTTACAGAACACCAAATAGACTGGATCCAAAAAAAGTCCTCTCGCCACATAATAATCAAAACACTAAACATACAGAGTAAAGAAAGAATATTAAGAGCTACAAAGGAAGAAGGCCAAGTAACATATAAAGGCACACCTATCAGATTACACCTGACTTCTCAGTGGAGTCAATGAAAGCCAGAAGGTCCTGGTCAAGCATTATGCAGACATTTAGAGACCACAGATGTCAGCACAGACTACTATACCCAGCAAAACTGTCGATCACCATAGAAGGACAAAACAAGATATTCCATGACAAATCTAGATATCCAATACCTAGCCACAAACCCAGCCCTACCCAAAATACTAGAAGGAAAACTCCAACCCAAGGAAGATGGCTACACCAACAAAAACACACACAATTGATGATCTCATTACAGCAAATCCCAAAGAAGAAAAAAAAATACACAAATTAACATCACCAATGATGAAAACTAAATTAACAGGAGATAGCAATCACTGGTCATTAATATCCCTTAATGTAAATGGACTCAACTCACCCATAAAAAGGCACAGGCTAACAGTTTGGATACAAAAACAGAATCCATCCCTCTTCTGCATACAAGAAACGCATCTCAACCTCAAAGACAGACATCGTCTCAGAGTAAAAGGTTGGGAAAAAAAAATATACCAATCAAATGGACCTAAGAAACAAGCAGGTGTAGCTATCCTAATATCTAACAAAATCGACCTCTAGCTTAAGTCACTCAAAAGAGACAAAGAAGGATGTTTCATATTAGTCACAGGAAAAAAACATCAAGAGGAATCTGACTCCCACACAGACATAACATGCAGGCAAAATACCAATGCACATGAAATAAAATAAAAATAATAAATCATTTTTTAAAAAATGGCCCACATAGGTCCATAGGGAGTGGCACTGTTAGAAGGTGTGGCCTTGTCGGAGTGGACATGGCTTTGCCGAAGGAACAGTGACACGAGGGGGTGGGCTTTGAGGTCTCAGAAGCTCAGGCCTGCCTGGTGGTTTACAATTAACTTCAGCTGACTGCAGATTAAGTTGTAGAACTCTCAGGTCCTTCTCTAGCACCATATCTGTCTGCATGCTTCCATGCCTCCCACCATGACGATAATTGTGAACCATCCCTAATTAAATGTTTCCCTTTATAAAAGTTGCCATTGTTGTGGTGTGTCTTTACAGCAATAGACATCCAACTATGACAGGTGAATGGATAGGTGCACAGGTGGGTAGATGGATGGTAGGCAAATGAATGGGTAGGTGGAGGGATGACATGTGGTAGATGGGTGGGTGGGTGGGTGGGTGGTTATATGGATAGTTGACGGATGAATTGGTGGGTAGGTGGGTATGTGGCTGGCTGGCTGGCTGGTTAGCTGGCAGATGACTTGATGCATAAGCGGTTCCCAAATGGGCTGACAAATGCAAAGATCAGTGTATCTCAGACTACCTGCCTAGCAGGCCATGTCCTCCCATCATTTGCAAGACAGACACAGGAGGATGGGGAATTCAAGGACAATCTTGGCTATGTGAGGCCTTATCTCAAACTAAGAAAGTAATACACTAACTCAAAAATCCCAAAGAGCTAACTGACCATCATATCCCCCCTGCCCCCAGCTCTGCTCCCAAGTCTCTGAGCGCCCCGTCCACACTCTATGTACTCACCAATCCTCCTTCGACCACGAGTATCCCCACCTGGGAGATGGAATGAAAGTAGAATATGCCTCCTAATGTTCCCGTGAAACTATTCTGTGGAACAAACATTCGATGTGTGTAAATGAGATTCAGGTGACATTAACACATTTATCATTTGAGACAGCGTAGCATCTTGCATTTAGCCCTGATATAATCTACATCATTTGCTGAGCTCAGGAGAGCAAATCAACCTCTGGGACAGAACAGTCAGAGCAGAGGGTCAAAGACAACAGCTGTCTTCTATGAGGACAGGTGTGACACAAGCCACACTACAAACCCAATTCTGTGCTTCGTATCTCCCTGCTTCTGCAGCCCCACATTTTATTTTTTTAAAATTGATATTGAGCTCTACATTTTTCTCTGCTCCCCTCCCTGTCTCTCCCCTCCCCCTTCAGTCCTCCCCCAAGTTCCCTATGCTCCCAATTTTCTCAGGAGATCTTGTCTTTTTCCACTTTCTACTTCCCATGTAGATTAGATCTATGTAAGTCTTTCTTAGTGTTCTCATTGCTGTCTGAATTCTCTGAGATTGTGGTTTAAAGGCTGGTTTTCTTTGATTTACATTTAAAAAGCACCTATGAGTGAGTACGTGTGATAATTGTCTTTCTGTGTCTGGGTTACCTCACTCAAAATAATGTTTTCTAGCTCCATCCATTTTCCTGCAATATTCAAGCTGTTATTTATTTATTTATTTATTTATTTATTTATTTATTTATTATTTATTTTGCTGTGCAGTACTCCATTGTGTAAATGTACCACATTTTCCTTATCCATTCTTCCATCGAGGGGCATTTAGGTTGTTTCCAGGTTCTGGCTATGACAAACAAAGCTGCTATGAACATAGTTGAGCACATGTCCTTGTGGCACGATTGAGTATCCTTTGGATGCTCAAGTGGTATTATTGGGTCTTGAGGAAGGTTGTTTCCTAATTTTCTGAGAAATCGCAACACTGACATCCAAAGGGGTTGTACCAGCTTGCATTCCCACCAGCAATGCAGAAGTGTTCCCTTTTCCCCACAACCTCTCCAGCATGAGTTGTCATCAGTGATTTTGATCTTGGCCATTCTTACAGGTGTAAGATGAAATCTCAGAGTTGTTTTGATTTGCATTTCTCTGATGACTAAGGATGTTGAACATTTCCTTAAGTGTCTTTCAGCCATTTTAGATTCCTCTGTTGAGACTTCTCTGTTTAGGTCTGTACTCCTTTTTTTTTTATTGGATTATGTGATCTTTTGGTGTCCAATTCCTTGAGTTCTTTGTATATTTTGGAGATCAGACCTCTGTCTGATGTGGGGTTAGTGAAGATCTTTTCCCATTCTGTAGGCTGTCATTTTGTCTTGTTGACTGTGTCCTTTGCTTTACAGAAACTTTTCAGTTTCAGGAGGTCCCATTTATTAATTGTTTCTCTCAGTGTCTGTGCTGCTGGGGTTCTATTTGATAGACTCCCCAGGACCCCCTCCTGAACCCGCAGCTGGCATGTTCTCTTGAGAACATCCTGTTTGCTTGAAAGACTCTCAGGACTGCCATGCCAGCACGGCAACTGTCGTTCTTCTGAGCGAGGGACGTCGGGATTAACACACAACACAACTTCAGGTTCTGCAGACAAGCTTTTATTCCACTTTATCACACAGTATATATAGCCCTCAGCAGGGGAGGCCAAGACAGCAAAAGCAGGAAGCTCATCACCGTAACTCAGGTGCTTAGTGGTAAACATCCTTAGAAACATTGTTGAAAACAGCAGATTGTTCCTGTTTTTGTTCCTGTTTTCAACCAACTGCAAGAGTGCAAAACAGATCAAGTGGGGATGCGAAGGCTTGTCCTCTAGGGACCCAACAATTCCCCCCTTTTTATTTTAAAAGCATGAGAGCCCCTGTCTTAGGACTCCCCCAGATAGAGACTCTTACCCATCTACGGGAGGCCTTAATCCCTGTCTTAGGCGAGCTCACTATACCAGGAGAGTTGCCTGTCATAGAGATCCCTCATGACTTCTGCAATATCTGCAGCCAGACTTGGGGCACTTCCTGACTACCCGAAGACAGTCCAAGCAACACTTGTCGAGTGACAGTGTGCTGTACATGGGATTGTCACATAAAGCGGCAGAGAATCCAAAACCAGATAACCCCAATAGCAATATGAGTACAAGTGAGCATTCCAGACAATCGCTGGACCCACCCCCCAAGCTGGGCCATGGCATTCTACTGACTGAATCCAGGCACAGCAGGGACCCATGTGCTATTAATACTAACAATATGATAAGCTGTCTGCAGGGTAAAATTCAAAAAGGAATTCCAAGGGCCATCCAAACATGCATTCAACTGTTCAACCACATCAGAAGCATTTATAACATTAGCAGGTATAATGTACAAGACACTTGTTGCAGGAGTCAAAGGGAATCTACCTGTTCTTGCAAAAGTAGTTTGTTGATTTAAATTTAAAAGTCCAAGTCCAATATGAGAGTCCAGAGCACTCTGTGTCTGCAGGGACTTGCTAATCCTTCCAGACAGTTGATTCACAGTCTCTGTAGTCACAGCTGTCTGTAAAATGGCAACTCCAGCAACCGTATCCACAGTGGCAGTGACAGCAACAATTGCAGCTGTTCACCTGCTGTCGATAAAGGATGATCTCCTGATGCTATTAAGACACTAGCACCGGCAGAGGAATCACAGCAGGCACTCGAACGATCAAAGCTCCATCAGAACCATTACTCAGCTTGCAGATCCTGAAAGAACAATTAAGAATATCGCCCCCCACTCAAGTGCCACTCCACAATTCAAAGAAAAATGGGGGAAGAACGCAAGCAGAGGATCAAATAGTCATTGCATCCAGCAGTATAACAAATCAAACTCTTGAGTGATACATTCTTCCCACATAACTGTAGGGTGGAGATTAAAATCTCCATCAGCATCCCAACACCAAGGAGCAGGTTTGGGACCATAGGAATTATACAATACTAACTGGCATTAAAAGTGGGGGGTTTCCTAGCAGATTCCCCATCACTCATAATTCTGTTGTTGTTACCAGAGTCATCACCTGAAGCAGAAGGAGCATTGTGGTCTTCATCCTGGGTCACTGGCCTTACGCACCACTCTGGCACCCAAATTGGTTTATCAACTCCTGGAGGAAATACACATATAGCCCCCCTCACCTTTGCCAACAAGGAGTTGGTTACATCCATCTTCCTGTTTGCAAATCTTTTCAAAGAATCCATCCTAGGCTCTGAGCCCTAACCTGTGTATGATGCTCCATAGGCGAGCGCCCTTCAGCATTCACAGTCAAAAAATTTAAAATAAAGAGAATGGTGGAAAATTGAGTAGCTGGGGAGAATATGAACTCCCCCCTTTTAATTTTTTGAAAATATTGCTTGAGGGTCTGATTGGCTCTTTCCACGATTGCTTGACCCATTGGGTTATATGGAATGCCTGTTTTATGGGAAATTTCATAGAATGAACAAAAGGATAAAAACTTTTTGCTGATATATGCTGGGCCATTATCTGTCTTAATAACCTCAGGTTTGCCCATATAGGCAAAAGCAGATAGGCAGTGTGCGATGGCATCTTTTACTCATTCTCCTGAATGTAAGGATGCGAAAATTACTCCTGAAAAGGTGTCTACTGATACATGGACAAACTTAAGTTTCCCTGCGGCAGGCAGGCAGGTGTGTAACGTCCATCTGATTTGGTCGTAACCCTCATGGGTTAACTCCTAAATTGGGGCTTCTTAGGAAAGGAGCCCACTGAGGACAAGAAGATGTAATGGCTTGTGCTACTTCTCGCGTGCATCAAGTATGATGCTGAAGGGAGCGAGCGTTAAGGTGAAATTTATCATGCATTTCTTGGGTGCAGTCAGAAGTAAAGCAAACATGTGTATATTTATCAGCTAAATCATTACTTGCTGACAATGGCCCAGGCAGCCGAGTATGACTGCGGATATGTCCGACAAACAAAGGCTCAGTCCGTTGCCAAATCAAATGCTGAACGCAGCTGAGCAAATGATGGATCTTAGAGGTAGGTGATATATATGCAGCTGTCTCCAGTGGCTTAAAAATGTGGGCCATATACACACTATCAGTATACAAGTTTACAGGTTCCCCAGGGAAGAGCTGGAGTGCAATGAAGCAGGCTGTACCTCTGCAGCTTGGACTGATACATCCCCACAGTACGTTTCCATACTTTTCCTCCAGAGACCACTACTGCATTACCTTTAGGGGAAGCATCTGTAAAGACAGCACGAGCTGAGGGTATGGGAGATTCTCTAATCACTCGGGGGAATATAATGGGATGATTTTTGAACAGGACAATTAATGGATGCTGAGGATAATGAGAATCAAAACTTCCGGAAAAGGTGAGAAAAAGGGTCCACTCATCATGGTACTGCTGTAATTGTACTAGCTGGTCTTTCGTATAAGGTGTTATAATTTTGTCAGGGTACTTCCCAAATGTCTGGGCAGCAACCTTCTTAGCTTTCCAAAGTAATTGTAATATAGCTTCATAGTATAGGGTGACTACCCTTGCTGGAGAGGCAGGCATGTGTACCCATAAAATAGGTCCATCCTGCCAAAAGACTCCCATAGGGGCAAAATTGGAAGCAAGAACTACAAAATTTAATGATTGATCATAATTAATCTGCTGGAGATGGACCCTTTCAATATTGTCCAGAAGAAGCCTTAAGGCCTGCCTGGCCAGGCGTCAATATTTGGGGAGAGGTTGGGTCAGGATCTCCCAAGAGCATATCATACAATGGTCTTAAGTCACCTGTTTTGATTGCTAGGGAGGGGCGTATCCATTGTACGTCTCCCAGTAACTGCTGCCAATCATGTAAGGTTTTAAGATGAGAGGTGTTAATAGTTAATTTTTTTGGTTTAATTCCATCCACGGCTAATTGGTACCCAAGGTAGGAATATGGGGCTTGCATTTGGACCTTCTCAGGAGCTATGATCAGCCCCGCCTTCTCTAAATCCTGTTGCATTTGAGTATAGAACTTTTGACAGCTGATCCCCTGCAGCCTTGTTTGGCAGAGCTTTCCAAGCTTTGGTAGCCGCAGTCGCCATCTGGAGATGT